TCTCCTCCCCCCCCCCCCATCAGTCCTCAGTTCTCAGCATTCAAGAGTCTCTCATGGTTTGCCTCCCCCCCTCTCCCCAACTATTTCCCTCCTTCTTCTCCCCCACAGTCCTCTGTTAAGTTCCTCCTAATCCTCCTGTACGTGCAAACATATGGTATCTGTCCTCTGCCTGACTTATTTTGCTCAGCATAACACCCTCAAGGTCCATCCATGTTGCTACACATGGCCAGATTTCATTGTTTCTCATTGCCATGTAGTATTCCATTGTATAGATAAACCACATCTTCTTGATCCATTCGTCTGTTGGTGGACACTTAGGCTCTTTCCATGTTATGGCTATTGTTGGAAGTGCTGCTATGAACTTTGGGGTCCATGTGCCCCTATGCGTCAGCACTCCTGGATCCCTTGGGTAAATTCCCAGCAGTGCTATTGCTGGGTCATAGGGGAGCTCTACTGTTAATTTTTTGAGGAACCTCCACACTGATTTCCAGAGGGGCTGTACCAGTTTACATTCCCACCAACAGTGTAGGAGGGTGCCCGTTTCTCCACATCCTCGCCAGCATCTAGAGTCCTCGGATTTGCTCATTTTAGCCCCTCTGACTGGCGTGAGGTGGTATCTCAGTGTGGTTTTGATTTGTATTTCCCGGATGAGGGGGGACGCTGAGCATCGTTTCATGTGTCTGTTGGCCATCTGGATGTCCTCTTTGGAGAAGTGTCTGTTCATGTCTTCTGCCCATTTCTTCACTGGGTTGTTTGTTTTTCGGGTGTGGAGTTTGGTGAGTTCCTTATAGATTTTGGATACTGGCCCTTTATCTGATATGTCCTTTGAAACTATCTTTTCCCATTCCATCAGTAAAAAAGTATTTTAAGTAAAAAACAAAAATTAAAAACAGAATCTTGCTGGTATAGGTAACTTGAATAGCCTATATAATTTCTTCTAGGTTTTTTGAGATACTGAAAATACTGTTTTCTTCTTTGATTGGCTGGGAGCTAGGGTTATCCAGTGAGTAGCTTACAGTTTAGCTTTGGAGATAAATATTATAAATGACAGAAAAAATAAACACGATAGGGCTGTTAAGTGCCACATTTGAGTGGTATAGATCCTAAGTGTTATAGGATTTTATTGCATAGAGAGGTCCCCGAGCTGAGCTATCACAATCTGGACAGGTAGCTAGGACTGAGAAGTATTCTGAGGGGGGAGGCAGTGGATATAAATCAGTGGCCAGAATGTTGGCTGTATGTTGTGGATGCTGTACAGTGAGGAGACAGTCTATCAGGGAGTAGTTCAAGATTAGTAGGTGGAGAAAAATAGATGAGGGTCAGATCTAAGATGTTGAGTTCCTTGAATTTGTATTTTATACAGAGATGGCAGTGAAAATGAGAAGGGTCATTGAAGCGACTCTGTAATGGAGAGACCCAAGGACCTGGTGACTAAATGTGAGAATTGAGAGAAAAGAGTAGAGGTTTTGAGCTAAGAGAAGAGTTATTATTACTACAAATAGAAAAGTCAGAAAGGAGAGCTTGAATGAAGTGATGCCAGAGACCCCTGAGGCTTGTTCTAAAAATTCCCAATTTCTCTGTGTGGGTCCTAACTGGACATTTTCCCTATGGTCCTTTGTCTTCAATTGTTGAGCCTGGCAGGATGAAATCAAGTTTGGAAGGGCATTTCGAGGTCATGAAGTTACCTGGCCTAATTTCTTCGTTTTACAGATACGCAAATCCAGGGCTTCAGATATTGACTTCCCGGAAGACCACACAGCTAGGCTGGGTTTTTGGCACTGTTTTCTGAAATTCCTTCTGCAAATACTGTTGGCGAAGTGAGCCTTGTTTCTCTACCATAATTCAATTCGTGTTTGAAATGATTCCTCATAGTTTTTCACCTTCAAAATCAAATAAATTAATAGTTAAAATAACTGCTTCCGAGTGGCCTGAGTCTTTCATCTAAAGTTGTAGTCGCAAACTTCGTAGAAGTAAACTGGGGGCGTCAGGGCCGAACTCGGCTTGGGTGTAACGCGTCTGCTCTCGTGCAAAGGGCCTGGGCCGGTTGAGGGAGAAGGAATTACGCACATTAAGACTGGAGCGATTCTTACCGAGAGTCATTCCTAGAGTTTTTTAAATGAACGAAGATGTGTGGTGGAGACCGGTAAAGGATTTGCTTCCTTTCTTTGCCCCTCTAAACCCTATTTCTGTCACTTTCCACGCATGGAGCCCTAAATTCGTGCGTGACTCCTGCCCCGCCAGGGAAGAACGAGATGCGCTCGTTAGGTTAGTACTAAGCTGAAAAGTGAACTCTGAAAAGTGAGGTCGCAGCCAGTCCTGCACCTGGGCTGGAGCCTGGGGAGGCGCCTGCCTCCCGCTGCCCGAGCCCCTTTCCTCCTCGGCCCGCGGCGGTCTCCCCCTTCCCCCTGCCCTCGGCCTTCACTCCCCGCTCGGGGTCTGCGCCCCCAGCCCTTCCGCCTGGAGTCACCGAGGGCCTCCCGGCGGCGCCCCGCGCCCGGCCCCGCGGCGGTCCAGCCGCCTACAGCCGGGGGCGGAGCTGAGGGAGCGTTCGCCCCGCCCTCAGCCGCAGGCAGGGCCGGCGGCCCAGAAGGTTCCGTGGATTCGTATGGGCGGGGTTTCCTGAGGGGGCGGGCCCTGGCGGGGCGGGGCTCCCGCGGGGGCGGGGCTGAGGGGCGGGCCCAGGCGGGGCGGGCGGCTGGCCGGCGGGGGCGGGGCTGAGGGGGCGGGCGGGGGCGGGGCTTCCCGCGGGGGCGGGGCTGAGGGGCGGGCCCAGGCGGGGCGGGCGGCTGGCCGGCGGGGGCGGGCGGCGCGGAGGCCGGCCGCGTGTGGCGCAGCTGCGGCGGCGGCTCCCACTCGCTGGGCGTCGGGCGAGGGTCTCGGAGGGTAAGTGGGGGGAGGGGCCGGGGCGCCGCGGGAGCCGGGTGGGGGCGCCCCGCGTGCGCGCCGAGCCAGGTGGTGTTGGGACCCGCCCCGTGCCGCTTCGGTGCGTCGTGGGAGCGCGAGGCGCGGTGGGCGGCCCCGGCGCGTCCCGCTGCGGCCCCGCGGCGCCTGTCCGAGGCGTCGGCTGCGGGACGGCCGGCACCCGCGTGGCTGTGCACGCCTCCTTCCCGCTCTCGAGAGACCTCGGGTACGGAGACCGCTGTGT